GATAGATAGATAGATAGATAGATAGATAGATGGATAGATAGATAGATAGATAGATGGATAGATAGATAGATAGATAGATAGATAGATAGATAGATAGATAGATAGATAGATAGATAGATAGATAGATAGATAGATTGATTGATAGATAGATAGATAGATAGATAGATGAAACAAAACAGACAAACACGGGTAGGTAGACAAACAAACAACTACACACATCTTTTAAAAAAAAACTTCAACCAAAGAAGGCTGGTGTCAGTAGTAGAGTATCGTAAGTCTTCATCACAGATCTGAGATTTCTCAGAAGTCCTATGTATATGTACTTGTATCTCACTCTGCCCTTATATCGATGTCGAAGCAGCCATATCCTACCACATAATCTAAATTCGGTTGATGGGGCCGTAAAACAATAAGATTGTTATAAAAGATAACCTGGGGGCTCTGGTCGTGCTCTAGAAGGTGCCATGGTGTTCGCCTCTCATTCAATAGGTCCTGGGTTCAAAACCTGATAGCTAAGGAAAATTTCTATTAAATGATCTCCTTTTACCACCTTTCCTGCTTTTTAGTTGATTATGGTGTCGTCTGCTTTCGTCTTCACTTTTCTGCCTAAACCCCCCCCCCCCCCCCCCCCCCCCCCCCTTCTTCCTTTATTTTGCCCTCTCCTTTAGGCTCCTGGCTCTTTTTGCAGCCTTTCTACTGCGACTCCTTGGCTCTTACTATTGATGTCTTTCATCCGCACCCCTGATCTTAGGTTAGGTAAGGTCTAGATCTAACACCTCTAACCTACTGTGTTAAACTTCACGAATCACATCGGTAAAACAATCTCGGAGGTCTCGAAAACTATCTGTCAAGGGAACTAACTCAAACTAAGTTGGATTAATGTAACAAGGAATCTAACTCATTTATTACGGATTCATTCAATTTTTAGCAGATTGTTTCCCTTTAATTTTATAGGCAGCATTCTTTGAAATCCACATAATACTGCTTTTATTAATTTTAATTTCAAGTTTAAAGTAAACGTTACAGACTGAACAATATATCATAGCCTATTCAACAATAAATGAACGTTTTCATCCCCTCATCTGTATAATTGGAAAATTGATTTTTGTCCTCGTCAAGTCCCATGCAACTCAAAATAGTCAATGAAAGTTAATATATTATATGCACCCTTGTAAAATCTAAAACAGCACAAGCTCAAGTACCTAAAGTCAAACGTAATTGAAAAGTTTACCGGTACAATGTTAGGGAACAGCAGCATACAAAATATACCACACCAGTACGCTCACCAACCACCCACATTATAACTGTTCCGGAGAAGTGTGCACCCTTCAGCCACAGGTGTGTGTAAAGCTCAGCTGAGACATCTAATGTATCTTTCCATCTATTTCAGTAAGTTTGATTTTTTTTTTTATGTAATGTGTTTTAC